ATGGCTAAATATTATTCCATTGTGTGTATATAATAAATTTTCCTTATGTATTCATCCAATGATGGATACCTTGATTGATTCCATGACTTGGCTATTTTGAACAGTGCTGCAATAAACATGTTGGATCGGCTGTTTCTATGATGAAATAAGTTCATGTCTTTGTGATATATTCTCATTGGTGGGGTTGGTGGATCATATGGCAGTTCTATTTCTAGTTTTTAAAGAAATATTCATACTGTTTTCCTCAGTGGTTGCACTGCTTTACATTCCCACCGATAGAGTATAAGAATTCCCCTTTCTCCATGTTCTCACCATCATATGTTACCTCCTATCTGTTTTGATAATATCCATTCTAACAAGTGTGATGTGTTATCTCATAGTTTTAATTTACATTTACCTGATGGCTAGTCCCACTGAGAATTTTTCATGTATCTGTTGGCCATTTGTATTTCTTCTTTTGAGAACTTTCCATTCAGGTCTGTTGCCCATTTCTTGACTGGACTTGTTTACTTTTCTTCTTTTTTTATTTGGTTATTTTTTATGAGTTTCTGATATACTGTGGATATAAGTCCTTTGTCAGATAAGTAGCTTGTAAATATTTTCTCCCATTTTGTTGCATATAATTTCATTCTATTGGTTGCTTCCTTTTCGGTCCAGAAGCTTCTGAGTTTGATATAATCCCACTTAGTTTGCTTTTGTTGCCTGTGCTTTGGAGATTTTATCCAAAAAATTATTGCCTATATGAATGTCTTGACGTATTTCCCATATGTTTTCTTCTAGCAATTTCAAGTTTCACATCTTACATATAGATCTTTGATCCATCATGAGTTGATTTTGTATATGGCGAGAGATAAGAGTCTAATTTCCTTCATATGTACATACACATCCAGTTTTGCCAGCACTATTTATTGAAAGACTCTCCTTTCTCCAATGTATGTTATTGGCACCTTTGTCAAAAGTCTGTTGGCTCTATGAATGTGGATTAATTTCTAGGCTCTATTCTGTTCCATTCATCTATGTGTGGATATTTATGCCAGTATCATGCTGCTTTAATTATTTTAACTTAGCAGTATGCTTTTAAATCAAGAACTGTGATGCCTCCAGCTTATTATTAGTTTTTTTGATAACAACATTGCTTACGTGATTCTGAATTTATTGTGATTTTATATGAATATTTGCATCTCTTTTACTTTTTCTGTAAAGCATGTCACTGGTGTTTTAATAGAAATAGTATTGAGGAGGCCTGCACTATGGCACAGCGGGTTAAAGCCTTGTTCTGCAGCGCTGGCATCCTATATGGGTGCCGGTTTGAGTTCCAGCTGATCCAGCTCTCTGCTATGTCTTGGGAAAGAAGTAGAAGATGGCCCAAGTCCTTGGGCCCCTGAACCCATGTGGGAGACTCAGAAGAAGATCCTGGCTCTTGACTTCATTTTGACACAGTTCTGGCCATTGTGGCCATCTGGAAAGTGAACCAGTGTATGGAAGACCTCTCTCTCTCTCTCTCTCTCTGCTTCTGCCTCTCTGTAAATCTGCCTTTCACATAAAAAATAAATCTTTAAAAAAAGAAATTGCATTGAATATGTAGATTACTATACATAATATGGATATTTGCTTTATTTTATTTTTGAAAAGATTTATTTTATTTATTTGAAAGACAGACTTACAGAGAGAGGTAGAGGCAGAGAGAGAAGAATCAATATCATAAAAATGTCCATTCTCCAAAAGCAATTTATAGATTCCATGCAATACCAATCAAAATACCAAAGACATTCTTCTTGGATCTGGAAAAAATGATGCTGAAATTCATATGGAGGCACAGGAGTCCTCAAATAGCTAAAGCAATCTTCTACAACAAAAACAAAGCCATAGGCCTCAAAATACCATATTCAAGACATACTACAAGGCAGTTATAATCAAAACAGCATGGTACTGGTACAGAAACAGATGGATAGACCAATGGAATAGAACAGAAACACCAGAAATCAATCCAAACATCCACAGCCAACTTATTTTTGAACAAGGATCTAAAACCAATTCCTAGACCAAGGACAGTCGATTCAACAAATGGTGCTGGGAAAACTGTATTTCCACATGTAGAAGCATGAAACAAGACGCCTACCTCACACCTTACACAAAAATCCACTCAACAAAGATTAATGATCTAAACCCACAATCCAACACCATCAAATTGTTAGAGAACATCGGAAAAAATCTTGCCAGATATAGGCACACGCAAAGATTTCTTGCAAAAGACCCCAGTGGCATAGGGAGTCAAAGCCAGGATTAACAATTGGGATTACATCAAATTGAGAAGTTTCTGTACTGCAAAAGAAATAGTCAAGAAAGCGAAGAAGGAACCGACAGAATGGGAAAAATATTTGCAAATTATGCAATGAATAAAGGATTAATAATCAGAATCTACAAAGAGATCAAGAAACCCACAACAACAAAACAAACAACCCACTTAAGAGATGGGCCAAGGACCTCAATAGACATTTTTCAAAAGAGGAAATCCAGATGGCCAACAAACACGTGAAAAAATGTTCAGGATCACTAGCCATCAGGGAAATGCAAATCGAAACCACAATGAGGTTTCACCTTACCCCGGTTAGAATGGCTTACATACAAAAATCAACTAACAACAGATACTGGTGAGGATGTGGGGAAAAAGGGACACTAACCCACTGTTGGTGGGAATGCAAACTGGTAAAGCCACTATGGAAGACAGTTTGGAGATTCCTCCGATTCCTGAATATAGCCCTACCACAAGACCCAGCCATCCCACTCCTTGGAATTTATCCAAAGGAAATTAAATTGGCAAATAAAAGAGCTGTCTGCACCTCAGTGTTTAATGCAGCTCAAGTCACAATGGCTAAGACATGGAATCAACCTAAATGCCCATCAACAGAAGACCAGATAAAGAAATTATGGGATTTTTACTCTATACAATACTATGCAGCAGTAAAAACAAAAAATGAAATCTGGTAATTTGCAAAAAACTGGAGAAATCTGGAAAACATCATGCTGAGTGTTAAGGCAGTCCCAAAGGGACAAATATCACATGTTCTCCCTGATCGGTGACAACTAACTGAGAACCTAAAGGAAACCTGTTAAAGTGAAATGAACAC